TTCTCGACCACCGTTTTTGCCTGCCGTTCTTGTACCTTAGCCTGATCTATTGCGTACCCGTGTACCGACCTTTTTGTGGATTAAACGTCTTCATTTTAATCCCTTGCCTGGAGTTTTGCATTTGGGTCCTGGAGTCACGACCGTGATACTCGTGTTGTGTTCAGGTGACAGGTACTGGGTTTTCGAGGACTCCACCATGGATAAGGACTCCCCCAGGAGCCTGAGGGAGCTGGGCTCCGGTCTGCCCGCGGACAGGCTGGACGCCGCCCTCTTCTACACGCCCACCGGCCAGACCTACTTCTTCAGAGGATCTGAGTGAGTCACCAGGCCTCCGTCCAGCTGTCTGGTCCATTCAGAGCTTTATCCGACCGGCCAAACTTAAGTTATTGTTGTTTTCACATCAACCCCAAACCACAGCAAAGTCATTCGGTCATTACTTTCGACGGGACTCATTCAATTCAGTTGTATTTCTATAGCACCAAATCCCAACAACAGTCATCTCCCAGCTTTCCAAACAGAGCAGATCAGACTGGACTCTGGAGTTATTTACAGAAGAACAACAGTTCCCACCAAGAGCAGCACTAGGCGACACAGGGAAGGAAAAACTCCCTTTTAACAGGGAGAAACCTGTAGCAGAACCATGGCTCAGGGTGGGGGAGGGGGGGTGAGAGAAAGAGAGGGCAAGAGAGAGAGAGAGAGAGAGAGAGAGAGAGAGATAAGGACAGAGGGAGGCAGCCTACACAGTAACACATAGACTGGATGAAAAATGGCAAAGATATCGATAATAATGATAATGATAGCAGTAATAACAGCAATAAGATTGTGAACAGTGGCTGTAATTGTAATAGTAGGAACACGGGGGGGAGCAGGGGGGTAGCAGGAAACTCATAATCACAGATCCAGACCCCACAGCTCCAGGAACATCTACAGAAAGTGAAAGGAGGAGAGAGGAGAGGGACAGGAAAGGGAGAAACTCCAGTTCGTAACATTGTTAAAGGAATGAGGCTGGACTGGGAGGGAAGGAGAGAAAGGAGAGGGCAGCCCGGTGCATCATGGGAAATCCCCCGGCAGGCTGGGCCCATAGCAGCATAACCAGGGGTGGACTCACCCCGACTATATGCTCCATCATAGAGGAAAGTCAGAGTGAAACCTGGCCCTCAGCCTGATCTCAGAACTGATTCTGCGTCCACACAGGTACTACCGCTTCAACGAGCAGAGCCGCCGGGTGGCCAACGACTACCCGAAGCCCATCAGCAAGTGGAGCGGCGTGCCGGACAACATCAAAGCCGCCATCATGAGCGAAGACAGATGTGAGTGCTGCTCCCCGTAAATTACAGCTAAATCTTGGCCTTTTCCGCCTTTTCCGCTGTTGTTTGCTCATTTTGTTTTCATTTTTAGTCCCGAGCCAGAACGAAAAGAGCCCGCAAACATTTTGAGCTAATTTCTTTTCTTTTATTTA